AAAAAATGCTGGCAACTGTTCAATAATTCGTATCTTTAACTGTTGTGTTCCCTGTATATTGCACCGCACATTCAGCTGATCCACCATCGACTAAATGAAATATATTTGCAGAAATTGATGGGGTTCATCTGCTGTTGGCGCCATTGAACCATGCAAATGCTCTATCTTAAAGCATTCATGAACAGCTTTCATTTGATACCCATATTAAACAAATACATCATAAGGTTACCCGGGTCCACGTTTTGGTCTGTATCTCGAGACCCTAGTCACCCAGCTATATGAAAAGTGCTCTATCTTAAAGCATTCATGAACAGCTTTGGGGGACCAATTAAAAATCGTTAGTATTAAAAAATGGTTAAATAAACAATTGGGTATTATTATTGCAAGTCTCCTGAAGATAACCAAAGTTTATCGATCGAAAAATATTGATTTTCAAGAATTCTATACCATTTCGACGAAAAGTTGTTTTTCCCATATAAAAATACATGGAAAACTTTGAGCGCTTTGAGCAACCTCTAAATATTTTTTGATTTCAAAAAAAAAAAAATAGGGGTATACTTTTTTCGATATAGAACAATCATTCGGGGTCAGAGCGTTACAATTCAGACTTTACTGTTTTTGGACCACCCTAATTTATATTCATATACAAATTCAAAATACTACAGGTATCCATTAAACCATTTTCACCCGTTATTTTCGCCCACAGGTGATCAAACATCCTGCGTTGTTTGTATGTGCGATTTTGAGTTGCGACAAGTGCTACGTGTGCTACCTTGTTCACACGAATTCCATGCTAAATGCGTTGACAAATGGCTAAGGGTAAGTAAAGTACATATGTACATATGTACATTAGACTGCATACAAAAAAAAATCGGTACTGTTTTTCCACTGGAACTATAAAATCTTTTATATTTTAAGACTTCCACCAAAATATCTCGCAAAAATATTAAGATTTACGTTAGCTGGACCGATTTGAAAATATGTACCTCCGAAAATTGAGTTTTTTTTTATTAATAAAAACAGTTTTTTTAATATCTTTTGAAAAAAATTACCTCAGATGACTAAACAGTTTAACCCTCCGATGAGTGACAGTGCCGATGACGTTAGATTCGTGAGAAGGTCCTTAGGGACCTACAAAGAGTTGCTCGATGTTTCGACAGTACATGTGCAACTTCTTTGGTATTTATGTTGTCTTTTGATTAAATTAACGTCCTGCATATATATTAGGAATGAAATAATTTGAAGAACAAGTGAAAAAAAATTCAAAACATGAAGACAAGTAACTTGTTATTTCTTCTAAAATTGTACAAGGTCCCTAGGGACCTTGTCACTAATCCCCGTACTATATATGTTGAAATCTCAATAACACTCGAACGTGATCCCGTATCCCTTCGAAACTTATTTTAAACGATTCAGCTTAATTTATTCTTGGAATACATGTATAAATTCTTTTCAAAAATGCATTGAACAAAAAGATATAGGCACATGAAATACGAAAAGGTCCCTAGGGACCTTCTCACAAATCGAAGGGTTAAGCTCAAAAAGTTTGCATAAAAATATTTTTAAAAAATTTTCTACGGAATCATAATAATGAGATTTTGATGCTGTTTTTGAACTTTTTTCAATGACTGGTATAAGAAAAACTCGAATAACTCAGCAAAAATTTAGACTTATGAGGTATCATTGGTAAGTTATTTCATCCTTTTAATTTCTTTGCGAATAAGCTCATTCAAAGTATGAATGAATGAGATGTGTTGGTATTTGATACAGAAAAAATCGGAACGTGAACGAGTTTTTTTTTGCAAAAAAATAAAAAAGGGTGAGAAAATACCTTTCCACTGATACCTCATAAGTCTATATCGGTAAAGTTTTGGAGCAGTTATTGAAGTTTTTCTTACACAAATTTTTGGAAAAAAGTTAAAAAGCAGCATCAAAAATGTATTATTATGATTCTGTTGATAAAAATTTTTAATATTTTTATATAGATTTTTTAAGCTTAAACTGTTTGTGAGACTTTTTCATAACAACCTCCATTTTTTCATAAAAAAATTCCCTTTTTAGAGGTATTTTCAAACCGGTCCAGCTCACGTAAATCTTAATATTTTTCCGAAATATTTTGGTGAAGTCTTAAAATATACTAGGTTTTGTAATCCCGCCGGAAAAACCGCAACTTTTTTTGGTGATGCAGTCTAATGTATGTACATGCAAACATATGTACATATGTACGTACAAGTATTTATAATGTAACCAAAAATCTATGCATCAAAGTGAAAATCGCTGACTCAGGTGAAAAAGTCCTTTTTTTTAATTTTCAGTAGAGGAAGAAAATATTTATAGGTATTTATTTCTTCAAGTATTTCCCAAAACTTTTCATACAACATTTCGCGTGTTTAAAGCAAAACCAAACTCCATACGAATCAGAAGGATTATATCTTTATTAAAAGGTTTTGTATTATTTTGGCTTTACCGGATTTTCGAGCCATCTTTTGAACTTCGGAACGCGAAAAAAACGAAGTGCCTTAATCCTTTCCGAAACAAGGCATTTTTAATTTCTCTTGCTGAAAATATGAGTTTTTATAAAAAGTAGACTTAGCAACTTTTCACTCTGAGGTAGCGATATTGAATATCCTCTACCTGCAAAAACTAGTAGCTGAGATCTATCTGTAGTAAAATTTAATTATATCTTTCTGCATTTTAGTCAAATCGAACCTGTCCCATTTGCCGTGGTAATGCATCCGACTACTTCGAGAATCCGGAGCAGCAGCAATCACAAGCCCAACAAACACAGGCACAGGTGCAGCCACAGCAGACGACAACACAACAGGCACAGCCTGCGACTACAGTTCAACCTTTGGTCGCGGAGCAGTCAACAGCGCAACATCAGCAACAACAATCACAAACACAAGCAACATAGGCGCATTAAACGCAACCACGCAATAAAAGTCATTAAAGAAAAAATGGTACTTCAGGAAATGAGAAGAATAGATTATACAAAGTGAATACCAAATAAAAAGTAATTTAACGAAAAAGGATATTATTGAAAAAATAACCAGATAGCAAGCACTCTTCTAACGTCCACGTCCAATAGATGTATTTGTACTTCTTCGTGTTTCCAATGAAGCCACCTTTAAAAATAGAAACTTATTACAATCCAAATGCAAAGAATATCTCTATAGGTTAAATACGTATGCATGTATGTATATTTAAATATGTGTGTGTGCATGTCTAGAAAGAAACCGAATAAACCATAAACATTCGTAGATAGGAGTTAGTTGCTTGGCCCACTTCGTGGCTATCACTTTTCAGAAGTATAATATTACATAGCTACTCGTACATACATACATATATACATACATATGTACTAGAATGCACATGCAATTGTAATTGTCAAACTGTAAAGGATATTTCTATGCAATTGTTATTAAGGTTAATATGTTGAAGCGAATCACAATTAAATAATGCAATCTTTGAATTAAAGGTAATGTAATAAATACACATAGTTAAGCTGTATGTTCAACTACATATGTAGATTGGTATGTGTGTATGTATATACATAGATACATACTATGTATATTTATCTTAAAAGAATTTTCCAAAAAATGTTTTTCTAGCATTCTAGTGGGATATGTAACTGCGCAAGCTTGTTATTACAATAATTCATGTACACCACAAAAACGAAATTTATAAGCAACAAGGAAAACAGTCTCACAGATTTATTAAAAAAAAACAAAAAAAAACAATAGAATATAAATAAATAAAGCAAAAACGAATTCTCTGGTATACATAGTACATACATATGCACCAACGTATTTTTATAAGTTAACATCACTTCAATAATTTATCCCAAAAGGAAAAATTTAAGCGCGTAACTGAAATTTTTTCAATATTATATACATACATAATATCGCGGTGTGTAGTCTTGTAAGCAACAAAAGCATAATTATATGTACATACATACGTATGACATACAAAATGTTGCGCCCAGTAAAATTACTTCAATGAAGTTTTAGTTGGGAAGGTAGATTTTATATCAATCTGTATGTACATAGCAAACAAAAACAGGGCAAAAAAAATTGGTCGCAAAACACAATTGTATTTACAGGACATTTTCCATTTATGTGTATGGGGATGTGTAACTACATATGTAGGTGCAGGTGCACAAGGACGCATACTTGCATACATATGCATGTACATACATATGTATATCCAAAGCTCTAGCCAATGAATCAATTTTTATCCAAAGTTGGTTCAAAATATTATAAATTATCGGCAATGTTGATCTTAACGCATACATTGATTTCAGAAAATTAAACAAATTGTTTAGCTAAAAGTTCACCGATATGACTGTGAGTGAATTTGCCAAATACATATGTGTTTGTGTACATACATATGTATGTATCTATGTACATATGTAGCCTCCATTCATTGTTAGAAACACAATCATTCACTTACATAAAAACATTCGGTATGCTCATTTCCTTGAGTTTAAAACAGCAGAAGAGTGAGAAAAAAATGCCTTCAGTACTACAACGAATATGCAGCTTTTCCGAGTAGTTATTTACATAATTGTTTACTAAATAATTACTTCAACTAGGCCACTCGGCAAGGATTTTCTATTTATTATTTCTGTGGCCATAAGCAATAACCGCCTAAGTCGA